CTGAAATTTGATACTTTAAAGAAGCCAGGAAAATGACAGCATAAAAACCTACTCACCTTGAAAAATTTTTTGAAATAGATTTTGAGCCAGAAAATTGGTTCTTTATTCATGCAACAAAACATGTTCAGATAGGAGGGTATCTAATCAATCTATTAACGTAAGATATTGATTCCTGGCGCTATCTATTTTGGTTATAAATCACTAAATAAAAGTAGTCAGAAAAATGACAGATTTTCATGGAACAAACAAATTATTGACAGAAAAATATTTTAAACGAAGTTTTAGTAAACAATACCCTCTGCAAATATTCTACAAATGCTTACATAGGATCAGATAAAAAAAATTAGATTTTTAAAAATGTATGGGAAGTTTTAAAGCTAGTTATTATTGGAAATATTGTTTGGGACATGCCAGGAAAATGACATTTTGATATTCAATTAAATTTTTTAAGTATACAAAACAGTCAATGCTAGTGCAAAGTCATTTTAAAATGCTAACAGCAATGCTATTTAGTATTATTTTTTTAAAAAAAAGTTCTTTTAGTATTATAGTATTAGATCTTGGAGCAAGGGACAGTGAATTGTCATATTTCGTGAGAATCACCCATATATATTTCACATTAAAAACGCTTACAAAACAGAAAATTTCCTCTCTACTTTTATAGGTGTCATGCGTTAAGTGACATATTTGAAATTAGACGCGTTGCAAAATATGGATTCAAATGTTATTGTAAAATCTTTTAAAAAAAGTGTGGAATTTCGAATTCTTTTGGATGTGGGGAAGGTGATTTTTTGTGGGACACAACAGATAAGGATGTTGTAGAATCCATTCTTGATTGGGATCCGCATGACAACGTTGGTGACGATATTGAATACAACGCAGCTTATGTTCTGGAATATTTAAATTTGTATCTTTATGGTATGTTTCAAAAGATTTTATTGTGTTATATTTTTTGAAATACTTTTGAATAAATTATCTTAACTTTTCTCAAATTTTTTTCCTGAATATGATTTAGAGTATTTTTTGTGGAAAAATTTATACGCAAACTTTTAACTAAAGCTCGTAAACGTTTTTGTCATACAAGAGAGAAACTGCCGTGCGAAAATCTCATGGTCAGCCCGACGGAACTGATGAATGTACCCTTCAAGGACAGCACTCTAGCAATGTAGCCGGCGCGAGACGGAACCTTATCTTCCGTGTCGTGTTCAATATGTTTCAAAATCGTTGAATTGATTTTTCCATAACGGTCGAATTTTCGGAAAAAAGTGTTTGATTAAGTCTTATGCTTTCCGTTTGTACCGACTATATTATAGTGCTGACTCTATCTTCTGTGACACATGAATAATTAGTTCTTTAAATCCCATTAGCTCAATGGTAATACTATTACCATAGGGTTAATGTAATTTTCGTAAATTTTCTTTTCATGGAACGAAAATGTCTCCCTCTTTCAGTAAAAATGTTTTTCACGAAGTTTGTATGCGATTCTTAAGTTCCCTTGTGTTTCAAGGTTTTTTAAAAAACTAATTTGAGTAAGAAACAATTAAAATGCATACATAAACAAATCTTATTATATAAAACGCTAATACGTACGTATGTATCAATTAAACCGATGATATTTCTTTTCTCGCGCTGGCAACAGTNGTAATTTTCGTAAATTTTTTTTTCATGGAACGAAAATGTCTCCCTCTTTCAGTAAAAATGTTTTTCACGAAGTTTGTATGCGACTCTTAAGTTCCCTTGTGTTTCAAGATTTTTTAAAAAACTAATTTGAGTAAGAAACAATTAAAATGCATACATAAACAAATACATTATATAAAATGCTTATACGTACGTAGTTACGAAAACGAGCATAAATCCAAATTAAATCTATGAAACTTCCTTTTACGAGTTAACATAAGCATGAAAGCGAGGTGGAAACGAAATCCTTCTTCGAATTTGATTATTTTAATTTTTACATGTGTCGGTAACAACGAAGAGTCTAGGCGCGTTTAAAAATGCGATTGGTGCAATTTCTTCACACGCGCGTATGCGGATGTAATACGGATGTTCTCTTTCAGGCATTTTTAAGCAAGAATTATATTACGCAACGCTTCCTTAATTTCCACCTACTTTATTTCTATGATCCCCTTTCTTTTCTTTTTTCTTTCCTATTTTTTTACATTTTACAATTTCATACTTCACTCGGGGATGAAGCTGTTGCTTGTCTAAATAAAATGTGTGAGTAGAAAAAAATAAAATTTAAAGGTAAAGAATTGCCATAGAGAAATTTAAATTGTTATTAACGAATTCAACGTAATCTGTAAACTTTTTAAACTTTCAAATTAACATTGAAATGTATAGTCTGCAGAAAAAAGAAAAAACGCATTAATCTGAATACCTTTTTGATCTAATGATCGGATCTTCATGTTCTAGGACTCAATTTTTACCTCAGTTTCGAAATTAGACACAAAAACATACTCTCTCTGAATTAACTTACCTTTTTTTCGACAGATTTGGATTTCTGATCCCTAATATATATGGGGTAGCCGCAATCTGGGAAGTATGGTCTACAAAATTTGATCAGGAGAGCGATTCTCAAGAACTTTTGAAGGTAATTGAAAAATGTTTGCCCACATTCTTAAAATTCGTTTAAAGAAGGATAATTCCGTGCGAAAAATTAATATTAGTAAATATTTATTATTTAATTTAACAACAGTTGAAAAAATTTGAATTGTTTTGTCCAATGGCAAGTCAAAAAGTACAAATGTCTAAAAGAGATAAAGATACAAAAGTATAAATATGTACATGAAGCAAAACAAGTTTGGACTTCTATGTGATAGAATATCTCGTCTATGGCAACCCTTGCGAAGGTTTTTAGGAGGTGTAGAATCCACCCACATTTACGTTACATGGAGAGGAAAACCACGAAAACCACTTTCTGTTATCTCGACAACAAGTAGATTCAAACCAATGATTCGATTTCTACTGAAGATATTTTACGTTAGCACTGAGGTTGGTGCTAGTCGGGAGCATAATTCGTATCAACCAGCCATTGCTGGGAATCGAACCTGGATCACCTCATAGTTAGGTGAGCTGTCTACCCCCTGAACCACGTATTTTTATTGAGTCATGTGTATTTTATTCGACTAATAAAGACTATAATAAATGGATTGTGATCCATTTACGAGCTGCGGAAGGTGACTCAGTGTATATCTTTTCCAAGAAGCAACATTTCGCTGTTTTACACTTAAGCAGGGTATTCTGCAATAGCCGCCATTAACATATGTTTTTCGAAGTCAGAAAGCTGTGCACATCATGGGTTACAAATCATTGTTTAAGTTAAGAAATATATTAAAACTATCACCAATCACTATTGAGGTCAATATGGCAGGATGGATTAATCTCATCTTAACCAGCTTATTTTGGAATGCATTCTATTAAAACTACATGTTAATATATATGTTAAAAAATATATTAAAACTATCACCAATCACCATTGAGGTCAATATGGCAGGATGGATTAATCTCATCTAAACCAGCTTATTTTAGAATGCATTCTTGTTCCATTACACAAATATACTGATTTTTGATGATTTTAATCCCTGCTTTGTTCTTTTTGACCTCATTAGTAATTTGAGATTTGGAAACGTTTCTGTATTTAAACTCAATTAAATAATTATTGGCGACTTCAGTTTCTTAGGATAATTCAAAAAACAATATTAAGGGTTAACATTACGGAACACTCTTTCACAAAAAGTTTTAATTTTAAGAATTGGTTTGTCACGACTCCATTAGGGCATCCTAAGTTTATTATATTTTAAAAATTATTCAAGTACTTTAAATTGATTGGAATGAAAAACTTTCAGAAAGTATTATTAAATTTTGCAATGCAACGACTATTCTTTTATACCATAATTTCCCTTATATAAATTTATCATTAAAAGAATAATTTACGGAACTCACTGTTTATGCTAATTTTCTTCAAGTAATAAGTTTAAAATTAACAAACCTTAAGCAAATTTCTCACCATCTCTGCAAAGAATTAATGATTTATCAAAATTTATTATAGTCCATTGTTTTTAAATAAATGGATCTATGGATATCTACAAAAAAATAAGAAAAAGATTTTTCGTTATTGCTTTCAAATTTTTAATTTACATTTCAGTTCTTGAAGAAAAAAAAAACGAAACACCAAAGTAGATTTTGGGTTGCATACTGCTGTACACTACTAGTTTATAAATTATTCGAAATCTTCATACATTTTTAGTTAAAAAAAAGAAGTTAGCGTAGAATGTAATATATTAAAGAACAACTAAACAAAAACATACAAAATATGAAATTACAAATTTAATTTTTCCTAATTATTGAATGAACAAATATTGTTTAGTTGTTCTTATTATATAAAATATTACTATTACATAAAATATTATTATTATTAATATTATATAAAATAATAACAATAATAATTATTATTATTATTAATAAATTAGATAAAATGTTAATAATAATAATAATAATTATTATTATTAACACTAAACAAAAACTCCAAAGAAGCGGTTTCCATGTTTGATGTCCACCCGACTGTCGTTTTAATAATTATAATAATTATATAAAATAATAATAACATAAAATAATAATAATTTGTTATTTTACTTTATTATTATTTTATATTATTATTATTTTATATTATTTTTATTTTTTCATATTATTATTATTATTATTATTTCATATTATTATTATTATTTTATATTATTATTATTATTAAAATGACAGTCGGGTGGACAAACATGGAAACTACTTCTATGGAGTTTTTGTTTAGTATTTGCAGCATTTCCAGGCAGACCGGTTGAAGATGCTACTGTTATTGCGTCTCCTCATCCGCTACACTAATCACAAGCGTTTACAAGAAGCTCAAAATGACTATCTGAATTGCAGAAAACAAAAAAAAAGAAGGTAAAAAAAAAACAACAAACCATATTATCCAAGCATCCTCCTCACTATTCAAGCTCATCACCCCGAGCGCAACTTTTGCCGCCGACGGGCGCTTGACACCCTAAATAGTCGACTCGTTAATTGCCCGTTTAAATCATTAAAGAGCATGCCGGGCCATATTTATCAACTCCAAGATGGATTGTCAACTTGCTGGCGACAAACGAGAAAAGTCCTCCTCTGCCACAGAAACACTTTTGATAGGCGGGGACATTCTATGGGGGTTGTACTCCGCTTTTTTATTCTTTTTATTTTGGACCATCCCGTAAAAGTTCTTATCATCAACGATTATTAACTTCAACTTGATGATCTCTGGGTGAGATTTTCACCAGATTTCGAAACTGTTCCATATCGGTCCAAGCTCTTAATAGGCCTTCTCCATAACAAGCATATCTCAGCGCTGATTAGCAATATTAAGACACCAATCAATATCTTTTAATGATTGACCAATTAAAATTTTAGTGATTAAAATATTAAAGATTTAAGACACGGCTTTTTTTTAATAAAATATGATATTTCCTATTAGGAAAAGATTTAAAATGCTTTGAGGACTTCATTTTTCTTCAGAAAAATGGTGTTTCTGCTTCTTAAAATATAAATATTTATCTAAATACTATTCCCGCCAAAGAATAGTTTTGAAAATGAATAATTGCAAGGAAGTGAAACCGTGGAGCACAAACTTTTGCATCGAGAGCTTACTTGGACAAAAAGAACATTCAAATTCTTCAGCTATTAGTGCATCAGACGAGTCTACGAGTGCCAATAATTTACCCCAGTATGATTCGGATACAACAATTGATAGTAAGTTGTTATACGTTGTTATTATTATTTATTCAAAGAGTTATGAAGAATTATAAAATTTATACTAGCTCTCTCTGAAATATTTATGCTAAATTTTCTTTATACTCACTCTCTATTTAATGAATCTGCCTCAATTTACTAATACTATTTCTCTCTATTATAGCACTACCTCATTTTCCTTACACTATATCTATAATAGTTCTGCCCTATTTTTCTTATACTAAATCTCTCTATTATAATTCTTCCTCTCTTTCCTTATACTAAAATTTCTGTATAATATTTTTGCTTCGATTTCTATATTTTAACTCTCTCTTTAATATTGCTGACTCATTTTTTAATACTAAATCTCTCTATAATATTTTTGCTTCATTTTCCTTATATTAACCCCCTCTTTAATATCTTTACTTCTATTTCCTTATACTAAATCTCTCTATAATATTTCCGCCTCATTTTCCGTATATTAACTCTCTCTATAATATTTCTGCCTCATTTTCCGTATATTAACTCTCTCTATAATATTTCTGCTCCATTTTTCTTATTCTATAATATATTTCTGCCACATTCTCTCATATTAACTGTTTCTATAATATTTCTGCCTCATTTTTCCTACGTTAACTCTCTTTTTAATATGTTTTTTTCTTTTTCCTCAAACCAAATCTCTCTGTAACATTTCTGTCTCACTTTCCTTACATTAACTCTCTCTATATATTTTCTGCTTCATTTTTCTTACACTAAATCTTGCTATAATATATTTCTGCCACATTTCCTTCATATTAACCATTTTTATATTTCTGCTTCATTTTCCTTACATTAACTCTTTCTATAATATGTCTGCTTCATTTTCCTAATACTAAATCTCTCTATCATATTTCTGCACATTTCCTTCATATTAACTGTTTTTATAATATTTCTGCGTCATTTTCCATATACTATATAATCTCCAAAACAAGCGGTTCAACTATAACAAGCTACCATAATGCTATGCATATTTGAACCATAGCGTGGTGTATATTTCCTGCAACCTTACTAAGGTGCTGTCAAGTCTAGAGGCTGAGTTGCATAGTATATAATTATGCTTTTCATGATTTCTGGAGGGGTGACTACTTTTTTTTTATCCAGCAAGCATAAATGAAGAGATTTGTAAGAAAAATCAAAAGCTTCAAGTGGCATTTTTATTGGGTTTTGAAGCACCAGCTTTAAAAATGTAGAAAAAGAAGAAAGTTGTATACAAAACAAACTTTCTTAACTATATCCTTTTGAATCCCAGCCTCAAAAAATTTTTAAACATTTGATAATATTTTATCACTTAATTAATATGAAAAAATATTATAAAAATAATATTATAAATATGATACTAAAAATAATATAACAATATTAATGCAATGAAATTAGTATAATAATATTAATTTCATTAAAAATAATATAATAATAATATATACAAACTTTCTTGTTATATCCTCATGAATCCCAGCTTCAAAAAATTAGTAAACATTTGGTACAATTTTATGACTTAAAAAATTAATATTAAAGAAATATTACAAAAATAATATTATAAAAACGATATTTAAAAAATAATATAATAATATTAATGTAATAAAATTAATATAATAATATTAATGTAATAAAATTAATATAATAATATTAATTTTATTTAAAAGTAATATTTAATATTATTTCTTGAATAATATAAATAATATTATTATAGCAAACAATTGGATTCCCTCTCGCCGGTTGGTATTTTTAATTAAAATGAAAAATTATAAGTAAAGAATTAAATTCAAGTAAACCTATTGGGCATTTTTATGGTATATCTTATTATTTGAGTTCAGTATAAATTTATTCCACGAGCAAATTGGGAAGAAAAACACTATAAAATATCCCACTATTTACAAAAAATGCTAAAAATTAAAAAATTATCGTTTTTTAAATAAAAAAAATTAAAAAAGTTAATTTAATTTAATTAAATAAACGTTTTTTTTAAAAAAATAATATTTTATTGAAATTATTAGTTGAGTTAGTTTTTAAAGTCACATATTTCAAAGTAAAAATAAGTTTTTTGATCATTATTTAAAGCTCGGGTTTCGAAAGGGTGTAATAAACAAGTATTAGAAAATTGAATGAATATTTTGTTTTCTGTGCAACTTCGGCTCATCAACAATCTTAATAACAGAATAATAATTTTATCTTTCAAAATTTAATATGAGCTAGTTAGTATAAAACGTTTTATGATAAACGTGTATGATAAAATATTAGAAATTTTATTAAACGGTAAAAGTCCTACTTTTGAGTATGCTTCAGCAATATTTTTCAACAATAAAGTTAATAAAATAAAAAAAGACACCATCAAAATATTTAATCTATATTAATGATTAAAACAACTAATGATGAATATTTTTCTTCACTAGTTTTGAACATTAGGAATCTTCTTATTCTATTAGTTAAGGGGTCTAACTCGTATTGGCAAACAATAAGTTTGCCGATTTTTCGACTTCATGTCATTTGCAGAATTTTCCATTTAATAACTATATCCGAGGTGTTCCGTAAAGACCGTTCTTAATATGCATTTTTAAAATGTCTCGCAAAAATACAATAAAACGTATATACTTTGAGGGATGCAAATTAATATTTCACCGAGTAAAAAAATAATGAAATCGATATCAAAATCTGTTTAATAACTGCGCAGGAGAGCGAATGAAATAAACCACAAAAACAGATTTGATTTCAGAGAAAAGTTGAAAGATAATTATTAGAGATATCCTTAAGTTTTAACTTTTAAGTAAGCTTTTTTTTTTTTTTCAAAATTGCTATTAAAATCTTTTCTTTTGTTGTAATTTGCCAGTTTTCAATTGTGTTTGAGTTTTTTTTCTCCCTCGACTAAATATTAGTTTTAGAATCCCAAATGTGTGTGCAGATTTGTTTTCCTTTTTGATAATGATTCTTAAAATACTTATTAAGGACGGTTTTCATGGAACATCTTGTGGAAAATTACAGACGGCTTCATATTTTTGCTTTCACATCCTAATATATATGTCACCGGCAAAGTGTGAAACGCCGGCATTGTATAGAATGTCTGACGTTTTTAGGCAAAGTATGAAATGTGAGAAATATTTCATACTTTGCCTAGGCATTCTATACAATGCCGAATGTTATTTAGGCAAAGTATGAAATAATCGTCCTGATGAGATTATTATGTAAATGATGTGCATGTTACTGTGAATGAGAGAAATTGGTGGTTGTTGACTTTCACCGTTGAATGTTGACAATCACTTAGTCGCTTTGGTGAATGTCCGAAATATTTATTACATCCGATTTCATATTAATTTATTTGTGGGTATAATTACATTTATTCGATATTTTAATACTTACTGACGATAGATTAGAAGAAACATCAGTGCTTGGAGAATCGGGCAAATGTATACCGGGCAGTGACCCTTGACCTTAAAAAAACATCAGTGTAGGGTATACCGGGCAATGGCACTTGATCGTAAAAAAAACATCAGTGTAGGGTATACCGGGCAAATGTATACCGGGCAATGGCACTTAACTAGACCTAGTATATATTTCGGACATTTACCAAAGGTCCAGGCATACTAGTTCTAGTTAAGTGCCATTGCTCGGTATACCCTACACTGATGTTTTTTTAAGGTCAAGTGCCACTGCCCGGTATACCCTACACTGATGTTTCTCCGAATCTATCGTCAGTAAATATTAAAATATCGAATAAATGTAAAACGACCGATTTCGGTCATTTACAGTAACATGTATTTGTCAAAAATAAAAATGTTATTCTGAAAAAAATACTGAGAGTTCCATTGAAAAACATTTATTCAAAATGTGGAAAGAAAATTAAAAAGCTATGCAAAACAAAATTTAAGCCTTTTTTATTAAGGGAAACAAAATTTTCATATAAAAAATATGAAATTAACCTACTTGTTGCCACATGGCAGGCTTGAATGATATTTTGAATTACATTTCATTAAATTTTTCCATGTAAATTTCTTTAAATTCCTCCATTTCCATGTAGCTCAGTAAAAAAATAATTTTTGTTATTAGTCAAAAGTCACGAGCCACGCGTTAAAAGTCACGAGCCTTGCCAAGTGGTGATATTTGAAACGAATCGGAGATGTATTTTATACTTTGCCGGTTTCTCATTTGGCAATCTATAGAATGCCTAGGAAATGTGTGAAATATAAATCATTTCATACTTTGCCGTCTAATTTTAGGCATTCTATACAATGCCTAGTCATTCTATACAATGCCGAATTTCATACTTTGCCGGTAACATATATATATATTTCTCTTACACGGCGACAAAAAAAAGCCTCATTACAACTCCCCGAATGGCAACGCTAGAAAGTAGACCAATGATTTCCGCTAAAAATGTTCTAGCCAAATCTAGCTGAGGTGGCTCAACATATAGCGCTTTTAAAAACGGAAACTGAAATAACCAGAGAGAGCATTCCATTATTGTTATTAGTTATTCATTGAAAAATAAGTCTCAGTCGTGCTGTTACGCTTTTGAATTTTTTTTTTAAAAAAGTTGTTATATGGATTTTAATGATTATTTTAAGTTCTTGAAATTTTGTCCATTTGCAATGTACCTAAGTTAGTAGTGAGCGAAGCGAGCTTGGTTTGCGAAGCAAACCATATAAGATTGCGTAGCAATTTTCGGGGGTTGGCGAGCGTTTGCGAGCAGGGGGCGCAGCCCTCTAGTTTATATAAAAAAAACGTAGTTTAGTTCATAATTAAAATAGATTTTCAAATTTTTTTTAAATGTCAGTTTTATATATTGCGTAACACATTTGATATTAAAATCAAAATTCAAAAGTATAACTAACATAAGAATATCTTTTCTAAAAATTAAACATGGATTTGAGAACTGAGTAAAATATTTAAATTATGGATTTTGATGTAGTTATTTTTAAAAAATTCAAAGTTTTATTAAAATAGTGTTAATATTTAATTTATAATTAAACATTCAAATTTAATAATGCAACAGATAACTTTATGTTACTTCAACTTTAAATTTTGATTCTAATGTCAAATGCGCTGACATAATATTGCGTACCATGAAAGTCTCATTTTACTAAATACTTGAAGAATATTCTATTTTTTTACATGACATAAAATAATAACAGATTGAATTAGTTTCTCATTATACTCGGTGTATTCTTAGTTGCTAGAAAATTCACATAATATGATTAATAAACAAAAAAGATCTAGATTTTTATCAACGTAAAGCTACATTACTTATTTAACAGTAGTTACCGGTAGTTTTTAATTATCTTCCTTTTTTAGCAATATTCTCTGTTATAATTACGTTTACAATTAGATAATTATTTTAAACTAGTCGCCTTCGGCAACCAGCTTAGTCACTTTTCAAAATTATCATGCACAACGTATAAACAATATTAATCAAGCCGAATGCACAACACAACTGTATTTAAATATTCTGACTGTTTAAACACTTCTTTGATGCTAACACCTTAATCAGTTTTAATCGATGTATTTGCCCTATGAACTATTAAACTCGGTATTTCTCTATCGATAGGCAACACTATAGTTATTATTCATTTTGTTAAGTTGCATTAAGTAATAATTAAATTAGTATTAAAAAATTTGCTGTACGTTTTGTGTTCTTAGCTGGTAGTTTCCATCAAAAGAATCTTCAATTTATATAAAATGAACATTTACCAGGCGATGATCGTTTCAGCTGCTCACAGAAGTAAGTTAGGAAAATTATAGAAAGTTCCTTTTTAATTAATTACATTATCCATCCAATTGCCTTCCACAAAAGGTCCTAATTACATTACCAGGCTATGATCATTTCAGCTGCTCACACAAGTAAGCATCGAAAGTATATTTATCTAAACATTCCTCACTCACACAACATTCATTGGGAGGCGAGTTATCTCGGAGAATCCCGGTTCACCTTATTGGGAGGCGAGCGTTCTATTCTCTGAACCACCGCAGCTCTCAGAAATAAATTAATCGCAATATGCACAGTCACATATTATTATTCAAAAATGAAATAAAAGATTTAAAAAAAAAATACTCTGCGGCTCGCTCCTCCTGTTCCCTTTGCTCAACAACCTCCGTGATTGCTTCTCACTCATCATTGAAGATCAGGGAGGAAGAGGATAATTTTTTTACGAAAATTACGATTGGATTGCTATCCGTTTCATTTTGAGTCTCTTGATCTTCTTAAAAGATTTTTTCTTAAAAAACGCTAAAAAAGGATAAATTTATTTATAAATTAGAAAATTATTGTAATTTTATGTAAGCGCTTTTTATGAATACGTTAATCTTACTGAAATGAAAGGATAACTAGATTTTAAAAATAATCAAATGTATTTTTTTTTAAAGTAAACTTAGTAGTACAGAATGTAGGACACAATAAGAAGTAATAAACGAGAAGTAATTTTACTTGATAACAATATGTAACGATAATTTTATATTGTATGACAGTTTGCATTGGAAACAATTTCTGTCTCTCCTGAGTCTTTATATTTTTAAAAATTTTGATATAGATGTATATTTGGCAACATCTAATCTCCCTTATTATTTATTTATTAATTAATTTTGTTACTTTTTACATCAAGTCAAGTGCAAGCTCTTAAAATGAAAATCGCAAAATAGCGAACAGTAGATCGGTCAATTTTTCTTTACTGAAAGTGTTAATTCGTATTTTCAAGTTTCTATTTCTTATAGGGTTTGTACAACAACCAAAATAAATAAATAAATAAGTAAATAAATAAAATGTAAAAAAAAAATATATATAATAAAAAAAATTTGAGAATTTTTTTTGGCATAAATGCAGTTGATATTGCTTTAACATTCGATGAGTTTGGAATTTCGAAAAACACTCTACGTTAATTTCATAAGCTAATGTCCTTTTTAACAGGTCAAAATTAAAAGGCTTTAGTTGCATTGCTGAGGCATGTAGAGTGAAGTGTAGGGTATATTTTCCAATAAGTTTAACAGTTAATAATTCTTGAAATAATTATCGAATGTTTATTTTTTTTATTCCATCGTAATTCCTGTTCACTTTTCTACACCCCTTAGTAATTTCAAGTTTCTAACTTCAATAATTTTTGCGCAGCAAAATAAAATTCAACGTTAAGTTAAACACTCAAATCTATCGTTGGTGACATTTACGATTTTTCAGTAAGATAACGAAACTTTAAACTAAAATTAGAATTAAGTCAAATGAAACAAGGCTTGAAAATTTACACCACACTCACGGTAAATTAGGTTCAATGTTGAACATAATGGTGTAAATTTGCTAGTAAGATTTTAAATTGAAGTGTGGCGTAACTAAATTGATGAAGTAAGATAATAGGGTTCAACTTGAACACATATTAAGGTTGCAGCGAATTTAAACTTTAACATGGTCCACCTAACTTTTAAATTAACTATGAGCAAGTGATAGACTAGTTCATAGACTATCTTTTACTATCATTCTTTATTATTTTATTAATAATAAATAATAAGCTGAATCAGTTTTCGATTTCGTGATTATGTGATATATAAGCTGGTTTTGATTAGTATACAATTATGGTGATTCTAAACATAAACTAATGAGTGCTAAATTTTTTTACAAAACTCACATAAATATTGATTTAAGACCATTAATGTGTAAGTCCGTACAACTTCCTCTTTGAGAAGGATTTTCAAGCTATATATTAAGGGGGTGATTACAGAATACCCTGTATAATCAAATACATAATCTAAATATATGTTCTATTCTAGGTGAAAATGCATCAGATGACAAACGAAAAAGGGCTAGAACTGCATTTACTTCATCACAAATTAAGGCACTGGAAGTAGAATTCGAAAAGAACAAGTACTTATCAGTTTCCAAGAGACTTCAACTAGCAAAACAACTGAAATTATCGGAAACACAAGTAATTCAGTTTTCTTACTCTCATTATACTCCATATTAATTTCCACTCTACATCATAGTAATATAATAAAAAGAGTGTTCCATAAAAGAAAGGTAACTAAAGGAAAGCATCCTAAAGGAAAGCATAGTCGGAAATAAAATGCAAATCTGTTGGCTCATTTGCAGAACTTCTTACAAGGTTTCGCAGTTTGGCCACCATGCTCACCAGATCTTTCCTATTTCGATTTCCTTTTGAAGGGACAGTAGAAGGTTTGTGCACGCGACTTTAATCGATTCTGCAGAAGACCTCGTTTCGCAGACTTTCAGCTTCCTGGGGTAGAGAGCGATATGCCTGGTAATTCTCAGAACTGAAAATTTGATTTTTTAACTTAAATATGTGCAGTTACCAACAAAATTACTTTTAAATTCCACGAAGTTTCTTATCGAAACAGAAATTGAAATACTAGTTTTCAAAGATGCTATATTGGCTAGTAAAATGAACTTTACATGAGCTACTTCTATGTCAAAAAATATATTTTATTGTCGAAATTTTCAAATCTGTTATCGTTTGTTTCTTGCCCTAAACGATGATGAAAAATAAAATCAAAGCTGCTATTTAAATTGTAACAGCGTTTGATAATAGAAATGATAATCTTCAGTCTAACACACGCAGATTGTTTTTCCATTTTTCTTATTTTCATTTTAAATTTCTTTTAGTGCAAATATGTGCCTCGATTTTTATTTATTTTTCACGATACAGCGCAGAAAGAAAAAAAAAAAACAGGACCACCCTGGATAAATTTTGATTTAATGATCGGATTTTCACATTCTAGGACTCAATCTTAATGGTCCGAGGGGGTGACCTCAAGCGCTATTTAAAAACAAACAAATTTAGGCACAACAACATACTTTATCTGAATCAACATATCTTTTTTTCAACGGATTCTGATTTCTGATCCCTAAAACCTAGATGGTAGCCGCAATCTGGGAAATATTGTCCCAATAGTTATGCCAAGTCAGAAGAGCGCTTCGAAGTTTTGACCTCTTAATGTTAATTTTACTTTTTGCGTATGTATTTCGCAATACCCCGAGAACCTTATTAAACAAATTGAAAAGTTTTTGCAGACAATTATAAAAGTTGTTGATTCAAAGATAACTCCATGCAAAAAAAAACTTTTATTAAATATTTATTATTTTTTATTAATTATTCAATTTAAACGTATAAAACGTTTTGAATTGTGAAGTATAAAATTTTTTACATCATTTTAAGGAGTGCAATTTTACATAGCAAAATACAAAATTTGCGCGGTCGAATAGTTTTCCGAGAAATCGAATTTTAAGTATCTGACTTTTTTCATCATATTTTGGGAAGTTTTAAAGCAGTTATTACATTTAATTTATAAATTTGTATTAATGTATTAATCATCATATTAATTTATTAATCATTATATTTTATTTATTAGAGTTGCTTTGCTTAATGTCTTGGAAAATTCTAAAAAGATATAGATTCATTCCATGTAAAAAAGAAACTGTAAAACCTGTGATTTTTATAAATTTGTAAGTGAAGTGAGCATGTTTTTTTTTTCAATTCAAAATATATCTGATTACTATCTTGATATTTGTGTTTGGGTGACTAAAAAAATTTCAGAAATATACAACCTCAACGCAACACATAAAGTTTTAAGGGGTCTTGGATGTTTCAGTCATATTATTGAAGAAATTTAAATTCAACTATAATATTTTAGTCAGTTTTATCAATAGCAAGAAATATTTTTGTCATCTAGAATTGATCTTGGAAATCATAGGTATTTTGGAATATAAATATTTAGAATTCTAGGTATTTTAAAAAATATGCCAACAAATTTCCAAGATTTTTCAAATATTTGGGGAACAGAACTGGATTCCACAGGAGTCATAAAGAAAGAGGAATTGCCTTTAATATAATAAAATGCGAAAAATAAATACATTTATTACAGGACTAAAAATGTACATAAAGTTAAAGGTTTTTACCATTTTATGTTTAAAAATTGCAAATTTTTTCTTCTGCCTTAGATATCGCTTTTTAAATGCACATATAATTTAAACATGGGGTAATCAGGATGCTAATCAGGGTGTTTTTATGAAACAAAAATATAAGTATATGAGTTTTTTTTAAGAACTCGTGCTGAAATAATAATAGAACAAATGCATTAAGACCCACTTTGATATGATTCCGTATTTAACGAGATTCCGTATATTACGAGAAAAATAGAGTCTTTTCTTTGGTTCAGTATAAAAAGTGCTGGAACAGCGGTTCTCAAAATGTGTTCCGCAGAACCCTAGGCTAAGCGTGAAAAGATCGCAGGGGTTCCTAGAGTTGGAACTTTTCTTTAAATCAGTAATAACTTATGAAAATTGTAATTATATTTATGGCCAACAAGTAAACCATATTTTATTTATATTTCGGTTGCTTTTATGAAATTATTTATCTAAAATTCCATTGAAAAATTATTGCAAAATTCAAAAAAAAAATTCCAACATTATACTGAATATTATGAAAAGGGTGTGCATTAATAAAAAATTGCATCAGTTTTTCTCATCAAACTTTTCAAATTAAATTTAAGCAACCAAATTAAAGAATAAATATGATTTTCTGATAGCCATTTTCAACGTTCATAACTGTTTTTTTTTTTCTCGAAAACCTTAGTCGGGATTTTCTCTAAATGAAGATGGATTATTTAGAGTTCCACAGACGAAAAAAATTGTATTAAAGTGTATCTTATAGCAAGCGTTTTTTTTTTAATTCTTACTATTTTTTTATTTAACGAGGTAAATAATTTACTAAAAGCATTAAATTAAATCAAGAATAATTTAAACAAGAAACCAACAATGCATTATCAAATCTTATAAAATAAATTCTTTCTTTCTTACTAAAAAGTCTTTCGGTACATATTTATTTTTTAAAACACCGTCTTTAAATTTCAACTTTCTAAACTTGAAACATTGACAGATAATAGTGTTGTAGATTTATTAAAATATATTGAATAGTTTTTTTCAAGTTGCAGAAAATGTAGATAATGAAATCGTTCATAACTTAATTTACTTGAGATGTAAATTAGATAAAATTTTTTTAAAGCTAAACAATCTACGATAGATAAATACATTTTAACTTCGCAATAAAAATATAATATGAAAGCATATCCTTCTAGTTTTTTCCTGTTTTTTTTCTTCAGGTAGATTTTTTTATTATCTGAGTTCCTCGTTAAACCAGAATCCTAATGTAATGTAGTTTGTGTTTTGTCTATTTGTTTATGGGTATAAAATATTGAAAGTTTAAAAAACAAAACTTAAATACTGTAGTTCATGTTTTGATTTTGTGATATTCAAAATAATACTGAATACAGTTAATCTTTATTTCGATGATATTAACCAATAAAATCGTGCTCTGCTTAATCCAATAACGTAAAGCCACAAGGAAAGACGAAATATAACACTATATAAGAAAAAAATATCGGAATTTTATTAGCTTTATTAATTGCGTTAGTATAAGTCTTCGTAGCATTGTTCAGTATTAATTGTTTTCTTTACTTTTCCACCTCGTACGAAGAACGGGTATTCAGCTAGTTTGAAATGAAATGGTAAAAGCCTCATTTTAAGTTAGAAATGAACGATTTATTATTACTATTATTGATGTTGTTTTATTTTGTTTATATATTGACGCTGTAAAAACAAAATCAGGAAGTAATGTTTATAACTTAAATGTACTTTTTTTATTACCGTCGTTGAACAGCCGACCCAATTTTTGAGTTTAATTTTGAACCTAATCCAGAAGACAAGGTAACTCCTGGATCAGGACCCCCAAGGGTATTGATTTGTTATGGGAACATGGAGGATTTTGTGACTCGACAGATTTAACGAGCATCAGTCACCATTAACTACACGCAGAGTCTTCGGTTGGCAGGGATCGAACCCACGACCTCTTGGACATGAGCCCAGTTCCCTACCAACCAGACTATCCCGGCTCTAACTTAAATGTATTGAGAGTGTTATAACGATATACTGGTGTTTTTGTGAAATGAAACATTTACACATACATAAGTAAAGCAAATAAATTTGAAGATTTAGCACCCTTATTGTAAGAATAAGTACTTATCTGTATTATATCGTTGTAAGAATAAGTACTCATCTGTATTATTTTAATCCCTTCAAGATCGCTAGAGATGGTCAAGCGATTCCCTTCACGGCCCACGGTAGCACATATAAAATGAGTCCTTCTGACTTTAGTGATCCTAGATCACAGGAACAGGATCTCAATTCTGTACTCTCGTATTATATCATCTCGTATAACATTTCGTATTAGTACATACACGTACTTTTCTGTAAACATGAACTTGGAGGGTGCGGATGGGGGAGGTGCTTTTTTCTTCTTCCGCTGGTTCTTAAGGGTTACATTATTTACGTTACCATAAATGAAAAAACTTAGTTTGTATAGAGAAACAATTCTCAGTTGTAATTAATTGAGGTATAGAATTCGTTGGCGGTTGGGTTGGAAAAAAAAAGGTAAATGTGTGCTTTGTAGCAGAGATGCTGGTTAATTTTTTAGAATTTGCACCGAAAAATTACTGAGAATGAGTTAGTCTTGATAGTTCCTTTCTTCTGAATTCGATTCAAAATTGCATAAAAAATATGAAAAATTTTAAAGATAAAGAGTACAGATTAGAATTCAATCATTCGTGATATTAATTTATTTGAACCTACGGAAATTAAATAGACTGATATTGTGACAAAAAACAGGATATTTCATTGGAAATGGGCTGAAATAATGGAAATAATACAGCACAAATAAAGAAACCAAGTGCTGCACCGAACTGTGAAAACTTCAAATGTATTCTAAGTTTATTATCATTTACATATTAATAACAGAAACTTTCGCTTAGTTAAATAAATGCAATAATTTATATGAACAATTATTGCATTTATCAGCTTAAACCTTAGTATTAGAAGGTTTTTTCCTGTTTTTCTTCTTAGTGTAACTCAAATATG